CAGAATGTGCTCAGGCAGGCCGCTAGCCTCCTGATGATCCCACTCCTGTCGAGTCGCCACCACTGCTACTGCTGAGGCACCTCCTGCACACAGATGAGGAGTTTCCTGAAAACCAGCAACTCTTCCACATACGTAATAGTAATATTCCTCACCTGCTGACCGGATGCCGGTATGAAAGCACATGGGATGGGCCGGTCGATATCGAAATGAATGACTCCAGATTCCAGCGTGCTCCGATCCACCGCAGCCGCAGTTCTTCTGGGTCTGGAAAAAAATTTTTTTCTCTATCGCACGGTGATGACGGTGACAGTAACGACGACCAGTGTTGGAGGAATATGGCTTCGGTTACTTTACTTGAGCCTAGGAGTTTCCTCATTGATTATTCACGAGTTTACATACGAGTCCGGCTGGAAATGTATACAGGAACCAAGCTTCCCAAAATTTCCTCAGATTTTCTATATTCTCACCAACATATGCTTTTCACCATGTGCATATTTTCCAACGACTAAGTCGAGTCTGCCATTCGAAATTCCATGCCAGCAGTTCCAAGGTCAACCAAGCCTCCCAAGGTAGTAACCTTCCCCTCCTCACCTCTCTTGCAGGTCTTCATCAACTCCATTCGAAATGCCGTCTTCGGCATCTCCCATTAATATATCATGATCATCCACTCCCGGACCATCCATCTAAAGTATAAAAAATACCCTCACTAGGAATCGAACCATAGACCTTCAGAATGAATGCACGACAACTTACCACTCCACCATTTTCACCCGTTGCTCCTTCCTCTTCCACAGCAATCCTCTCCTCTCCTTCTCCCGCTGGAGGCTGGAAACTTGCAAAGCGATACAGTACCAAATCCACATCGACTGACACAAACTTCCTCTCATCCACAATCTTCCCATAACGAATTCGAAGACCCTCCCCACTCCTGCCCAGTCACTGTTAGCAATACTCAAAGACACGTTACCATCATCACGTTCTTCACAAAGAGTAGCGGAGACACGATTACACAATTTCTCGTCATTACGTTGAAACCGGTAAGTGTGTTCGCTAGCCAGGGTTGGAAAATATGCACATCCTCAGAAATGAGAAATTCCAGTTCATTCCTATCCACGTAAGTGAATCTTCAAAATACAGTGATGAGCCTCCTGAGCTCAGCTATGGAAACCAAACAAATATGCCAACATTAATTCTTGATCAGCCGTCATGTGATAACCTCTCGGAAGGTTATGTCAAACTCTCCTCTCAAAGAGTAGTAGATGATCGACAAATGAGATAACAAATTCCTCTTGTTTCCTATACAGTTTGTTTCAGTTCGTGTGTGAATTTCCATAATGTGACTTCGGAAACCGCCCAAATATTCTAACCCTGGTTCTTGTCGGGAACCGGAAATTTATGTCATCATGTCTCTACCACTCTCCCCTCGAAAAGAGTGAGATGATCGACTTACCCTGTTTCTGTTCCTCATCAGCAGCTGACAACTGCACCGTTATAAGCCCATCAGGATTGTACCCCGTACTCAACGCCGCAACCGATACCGTACCAGGCGGGCCGATCGGATGAACGAACCTGCCACGATGCGAAAGGTCCCCGGTTCAATTCCCAGCACCTCCCTACGTTTCTCCACTCCCACTCGTCACCACGACCAACGGCGATGCTCTCGGCGCCGGTATTATGAACAACCCTTCCTCACCATACGAACCCAGCCCGTCAAAGCGCGAGACCAGCGCGGATGACGCCTAAGCACAACAACAACAATAACCAGTGTGGTCGCACATATTCTACATATGTTGGTAACAAATATGAAAATTCTGAGAGGAAATTTTGACAAATTTCTGTCTACTTCCACCCAAATTTGTATGGCCTCAGCTGAGGAAAGCGAACATATATTTCAACACTGACGACAACAACGAGTTCAGCAAATTTCCAAGACCGCACTCTTCCTACCCAAATCGTAGTATCCTCAGTAGAAGAGCTCATCTCAGCAACTAGTCCACAATTTCTATGCTCCACCATCCGAAATGAGTATGGGAAACTCTCTTCCAACGGTCGGCCAGGGCAAGGAAATGATCGATATCTACACACCAAGAATATAACAACAAAAATCGCTTCGCTCCGCCTCCTACATCAGCGGAGGTCTATTCCTTATAAGCACCACCAGGGTAGGGGAATCGCCCATCCAGTGTAGTTGTACAGCCGCGATGACTGATGACGCGTCAATCGGTGGAGGCGCGGGCGGCGGTGAAATTGGCCTACCACAAAGAGCGTACAATAGACACTGTGGGAAAAATTTTTCAATTTTTTCTGTATTTTCCCGGAAATTACAGCATGCATATGGTCAACTACGTTTGTTGGTGATAACATGGAAAGTCTCAGAAAATTCTAGTACATTCTTCTTGTTTTCTGTACATTCCTACCCGAATTCGCTTGAATAAAAAATTTCGCAGAATTCCCAATATTTCCTCAGAATTTCTCTATTGTCACCAACACACATGAACATAGTGCATGTTTACGAATTCACTTTAAGAAATGCATACCTTTTCGATTCTCACTAACAAACTTTCCAAGCTGATTAGATGTTAAAACAAAATGAATAATCATAGGCAACTCAATGACCTTTCCGTTCCGACCAAACACACGACGTATATTCTCAGTTCTTCTCAGCTGAGTTCAGCAGTTTCCTCACTAATTATTCAGAACAGTTTACATATGAACTAGGGTAGAAGTCCACCGAAACCAGAATACAATTTCCCAAAATTTTCTCCTATAATCACTAACACAGGTAGTTGACCATGTGCATACCTCCTCACAGCGGCATCTACTATAAAGCTGAGCATTAGTACACCCAAAAGGAACATCCCCTCGAGTTGAAGCTCAGTTCCTTCATCAGTCCGCAACAGTGGTCGAGAAATATATGTTTGCTTCTC